TGTACGGATTTCATCATGAGCTGACATTAGTTAGAGAACCATTGGAAAACCTGGGTGTGAGGACAAATACTCGCCGAAGACATTGGCTAGCAGTCGCGCTATGTCGTGAATTGGCAGAAGTTAGAATTCAAGGACCATTGGATCGGGTCCCAGTGGCTTAATGGTATACGAGCTCGCCATGTAACCGGAAGGTCTTGGGTTCGAATCCCGATGGGTGCGTACTGCCGAAGAGTTCCAAACTAGGACGAAACAGCTGTCCAGTACTTCCAGGTTTTCCAATGGTTCTCTAACCAATGTCAGCTCATGATGAAATCCTGAAACCAGTTAATGAAATTAGAAGACCAAGAGTTATTACAGGATGACTCAATAGAGTGATTGGAGTTCAACGGTAGAGTACTTTTGATCGCACTGGTCAGGCAGGTTCCAGCCATTTTATTGTGATAGCCTTGATTTAAATGACAAATTCACTTTCGATTGATATTCATCTTTCCGGTTATTTTGCAGTGAAATGGTTTAGTTTTAGTGTTCCTAATAATTTATCTTTTATCGTCTCACTGGGTGATGATACTCTCATTGATTTATGTGTTATCGACCTTTAAAGATTATTGTTATTATATCCTTTAGTTCCTAGAGGAACATAGGGCTTCAGGACCTTTAAAGAGGCTGAGTATAATTCCTTTAGTAGCGACCTTTGGTTTTTTCCACACAGGTTTATTTTCATTATTCTTTCTATAACTGATGAATTCTTATTTCGTTGATTTATAAAATAATTAGCATATATATATAATCAGATATTACTAGACAACTTGTATCCTTCTTCTGTGCTCTTCAGCAATGAACGTCCACGACCATGCCAAAAGAATTAGCCAACTAGTTGAGAATATATGCGTTACAACAGAAGAATATTGTATTCAGTCCGTTCAAAAATATTGACTAAAAACAAAATTATTTCTCTTTTAAGGGTACATTTAACATACATAGACATGCATTAGCCTAATCAATAAGGCATGACATCGTTTTAGCGGACGTATTGAATTCAGAGAACGATCACTTTATTTTTATTGATTTACTTGTGATGTAGTAAATAAAGTCGGATGTAAGAACAAATACTCACCGAAGACATTGGCTAGCGGTCGCGCTATATCGCGAATTGGCAGAAGTTAGGATTCATGGAGCGGTCATTAGATCGGGTCCCAGTGGCTCAATGGTCGACGAGCCAGCTGGCCTTGTAACCAGAAGGTCGTGGGTTCGAACCCTGTTGGTGGGTGCCTATTGGTGAATAGTCCCAAACTAGGACGAGACAGCTGTCGAATACTCCCAGGTTTTTCCAATGTTTCTCTAACCGATGTTAACTCATGATGAAATCCTGTAACCAAAGTTGTAAACCTCTAGAAAGCAAAATAAAAACTCATTATCGTAATAGTGATGTTTAAAAGAAACTGTTGAATAGAATACTATTCTATGTAAAGTGTCTGCAATTTAGAATTCTACTTCTATTTGAAAGCTACAAATAATCCCAAGAATTTAAGAGATTCGTGCATGAAGTAAGTGGATCAACTTAATAATTAAATGTATACACTGACGCGTATATGAGAACTCCTGATGATATTATTTTAGTGTTCGAATGCAGGCGCGTAGAGTGATGTTGAAACTCACAATTTAGTAATTGAAGACTGACTATATGAACCAGTAGAATGCAGCTCCTTCGACAACGTTGAGCAAGAAATAATTTGGAAACTAGTTAATCACTATGGCGTAAGCCAAATCTTTATCAAACTCATTCACAACTATATGACAGTAGCATGTGTAAGGTGATCCACAACAGATAACTCAGTGAAGATTCTGCAGTGAAGACAGGAGTAAGACAAGCCTATTATCATAGATGATATTATATTCGCAATCGTGGTGGACTGGATTATGCGGAAGACTGTGCTCCAGAAGTCAGAAGACAGGAAGACGTTGAACTAATAATAAGAATCTAGAAGATCTGGATTTCGCTGACGATTTCAGTCTGATGTCACGCATATTCGAAGACTTGTAGGCGAAAACCAACAGACTGAGAGAAGGAGCAGCCAGCGAATGCAGGATATCAAGTGAACGTAGAGTAGATGGAGATTACGAAGATAACTAACCGACAACAACAGAAACCAGCAGTAATCCCTGTCAGCGGAAGAAATTTAAAATCGATCACTTCTTTCACTTATCTAGGAAGCATTGTTTCAACTACAAGTACTCGGGACGGATGAAGGTGTCAAAGTCAGCCAGAATCGGAAAGGTAAGATACACCATCAATGTGAAATCGATTTGGAAATCTGCTGCACTCAGTCAGCATGAACAACAAGATTAAGATTTTGAACACAAATGTTAAGTCAATCAGTTCTTCTCTATGGTTCAGAAGCCTGGAGCTCCACGAAAAGAATTTCCATTAGGTTGCAGACTTTTACCAAAACCTGCCTTCGTTGGTGCCATATTGTAGGTCGAATGGCCAGAAATAATTAGCAACAAGAAACTATGGGAACAAACTGAGGAAGAATGTATCGTTAAAAATATGCCAAAGAAAAAAGAGATGGATCGCAAAAACACTGAGCAGAAGGTAGCGTGACATCACACGCCAGGAAAACCCTCTAGTGAAACCCGGATAAGAGACGACTAGTAAGGCATCCGAGATTGGCATGCAGGAGGTCGTGCGAGAAAGAGATGAGGAACCATGGGTCCAGCGAAAGAGGACATCAGAAAACAAAACAAAGTGGAGATGTGTTGTTGAAGCCCTATATATTACACTTGGAACCCAAGGGATCAACAATATAACAGAGTACATCTCCACTATCGGATCCACCATTCATAGTCACATTATTGGATTTGTCAAAGATCAGTCAAATGTAAGTATCTTATTCGTGAAATTAAATCAAATTTATTTAACCTAGAGAAAAAGGTTACAGATTGGAAAAACAATAATTCGTCATAAGTACGTTCAAAAACTAGCCAGCTAATATGTGCAGCTGTACTTTGAAAATTTGAAACCCAACTGGTAATTACACTCTGTTTTTCAATAAGTAACAACTGTAGGGTTACGGCTGTAAGAAGCACACCACCTAGCATACATTAGCTTTTATTTCTCTAGTGGAACAGCATGACGTTTCTATGCACACATCAAAATAGACTTATAAATATTCTGTCCCACTTATCCTATAAAGGATAATGAATCTATTACACAAATAAACAGGTATCTTCTTGCTTAAAACATCCAGGGAAAATACATGGGTAACACTTTTGACAACAGTGAATTTGGAAGACGTTTGCAAAAATATACTCGTTATCATAGAAGAAGGAGGTAATGGTGTCCGTTAATACAAAACAATGGAGAAGCTCTTCCAGAATATATATATATACAACACCCTTTCTTCAAAATGATCGGAGAGGAAGTATTCATTCACTTTGGCATATTGTCAATTAAAATACAAAAACAACCGACCCCTTACATGAGCATCGGTGTATTCGCAAAGACTTAAATTGAACAATCATTGAGTTAAGCACTCAAATTAATATGATCCAAACCACCAGTGGGTAACTAACTATAGTTGAATTTAGTAGAATATAAGTACTTAGAGTATTAGTTTTTGTAGGGATTTAGTTTGATTAGTTGGAGGATTTCATCATAAGCTGACAATCTGTTAGAGAACCATTAGGAATCCTGCAGGAAGCACTGCCAGACAATTGTTTCCTCTGACCCACTTTGGGACTCTTCATCAGTACGCAACCCCCAATCAGGGTTCGAATCCAGGACCTTCTGGTCACAAGGCGACCTAGCTTGTGGACCATTAAGCCACTGGGACCCGATCCTATGGCCGGTCCATGAATTCTAACTTCTGCCAATTCATGACACAGAGCGACCACTTCGCGACGTCTTCTTCGGTGAGTAACTGTCCTCACCTTCAGCCTGTTGTACCCTATTGGTCATGGCTTCCCACTAGAACCACAGGTAACTGCTTGAATAGGGCCAGTCGCTAATGAGCATCAGATGAATTTTCAAGTAGTTGTTTTTTCTGTAAGGATTTAGTTTCGAACCTCGGTGGGTGCGTACTGCTGAAGAGTCGCAAACTAGGCTGACGACACAGCTGTTCAATACTCACAGCTGATTTTCTAATGGTTCTCTAACTGATGTCAGCTCCAATAAATATTTATTATTGAACACTTCTACCATTCCCCTCCTTCTCATAATAACCAGTCCCTAAAAGCACACAGAAATAAGATTTATCAGCAGTGAAAGTGAATTTAATACACGCACACACACACACACAGTATGATCAGTAGTAATGTGAAGTAATTTATTCAATGTAAAAAGCCAATAATGCACTTTATGTATAAATTACTGGATATACACATATAAGATATATATATGTAATTCTTTTATTCTCAACATTATCAGTAGTAATGTGACTAAAGATGAAATAATTCTCGCTAAGACAAAGGAGAAAGTGAAGGGAGGGAGAGAGAAAGAGAGAGACAGCGAAAGAGGGAGAGAAAGCAAATCACCAAATGATTAATACAATATTATTTATTTCTCTTAGCACTAATATATAAGCGACCCCAACTGAGATGAAAAGAGAAAAAACAACAAACAATTGGTAAATGAGAAAAACAAATAGACTTTCTAGAATTTTGAAGCTTCACAATTGAAGAAATGGTTAGTTATGTAATATAAGTGAACAGCATTAATAATAATTCTGTTTTACTTTTGTTGCTTAAAGTGAAAGGCCGACTGATTGATTGACTCAAGAAGAAGAAGAAAAAAGAGAATAAAAAGTAAACATGCATGTGAAATCATAATTTGCCCAACAAAAAAATTGGAGATTTCTTTTTTCCTTCGTCGTGGTGGTGGTGGTTTTGTTATTGTTGTTGCTATTGTGTATGTGTATGTGCTTTTTAATAATAAGATCGATAGTTTGATAGCTGATTATATGCATTTCATGATTATCTTATTTTCTAATATATATATATGGTTATACATATTCTCCTACTTCTACGAAGTTGCATACAATAATTCCAAGAACAAATGAGAAAGCCTAAAGGTGGAGGTAGAGAGAATAAAACAAAAGAAAACACAATTAACAGAGCAGTTTTCAACAACAAGACGACAGGAACAATGAAATACAACATAGTAAGAATATAAATGTATGCAAAAGTATTGTACGCTAGACTATGAGGTACGAAAAGAAAAGAAAGAACACGGTGAAATACACTAGCCAATGTGTACACGTTGTCATTAGTGATATATTGATTCTAGGTTAGACGACAAATTGATATCAGTTAGAGAACTATTGAAAACCATCAGGGAATACTGGACGATTGTCTCTTTTTAGTTTGGGACTCATCCGGAGTAGGTAGGCTATCACCGGGTCGCGCTAAAACACGAGTGGGTAGAAGTTAGAATTCATGGGTTGAGCATTGAATCGACTCCCAATGGCTGAATGGTATACGGGCTTGCCTTGAATTTGGAAGGTCCTAGGTTCGAAACCCAGTGAGTGCGTGCTGCCTATGAGAAGTCTTAAAGTAAGATGAAATAGCTGTCCAGTAATCAAGTGGTTTTCAGCGGTTCTTTAACTGATACCAATCCATAGTCTAACTTGAAACAAATAGAATACCAACAAACCAATTCTTGAAAACATATTGATTTACTAGCTGATTGTCGGTGAAACTCTTCGTTTTGGCACATACACACACACGCCACGGATGCAACAACCTTAGTTTAATTCTAAAACAGAAAGGTAAAGTAACTGGAGAGATATCGAACCTGGATGAAATCATCAGACTGGGGCATTCACTGTATGAATCAAAGATTTTTTCTTACCATTGATAAATAATGCTGCAAAGTGATACCTAAAAATTAATCGAATGCCCACTAGGGGCTGACTATAGGAGGAAGTTTTCCGCAAATCTAGTGAAACGTCGTGATCACTGGAGTCCACCAAGTCGACTCACGACTAACATTTACTAACGGTGGCGCTATATATCGTGAATTGGCAGGAGTAAAAATACATGGGTTAGTCATTGGATTTACACTCCCAGTGGATGAATGTTCAATAGCGTCCGACTTCCAATGAGGCAATGGGTTGCTTACTAATGAAGAGTCTAAAGTCATGACGAAATAGCTGTCCATCACTACTAGGCTTTCAGTGGTCCTATTACTGATGTCAGATAATAATCTGACTTGAAACCAAATAAATCGCTGCAAAATGGTACTTGAAAATTAATTTAACCATATTGGAGAAGTTTTAGTTTCCCATAATCTCCATATCAAGCTTAAACGCTTAGTCCATAGCTTCTTATTTGAATTCCACTCAATGACGTGCGTGGGTCCAATTCATTTACATTCCCTTCTGCACATTTCTTGGGTAATAGACTATCTAATCTTCAGTACCAAGCCATTAAATTATCGATTAAATGCGATTTTAATGTTAATTTACATATACTTTTGGAGATGAATGAAATAAACTGGTAATTATAGCTGTGAGTATGCATATCAGCCTTACACTCCATATCATTACGCAATAAACTGAGTGGACTACTTATATATACATGTCCAAACCAAGCTCAGTTTTAACAGTTTGAAAATATTTGAGCATTGGGTATATGATATTCATAATAATAAAGGTATTTTTGTATTTCCCAATGAATGAATGAAAAACGAAACGATATTGCTGATTTTACTGACGTTTCACTATTTAATGCTGCCAATAGCTTAACCATAGTATTATTAAACCAGAATTTACAAAAATCTCATCTTATATATAACAACTTGATCATCGTTCCCCAGCATGGGGTCATTTTTTCATTGTTGTCAAGTTGGCCAATTGGTAAAGATAACAAAACCATGTGTAGATTCTTGGATTTGATAAATGTATAAAATTATAAAAGCAGCATGAAATTGCTGACCACATTCATGCTGATTTTGTCATTTCATGGGGAGGGAGGTGTTGTATTCGGGTCAAATTCTGTTTCAGTTCATCATTCTTATTCAGACAATCTGGATTCCACTTGATACAAAGTGCTTTTGATGATATTAGACGTTCTTTGTGATTTCTGAAGCTTTTCTTCAAAACATCGGACACACTGCGAAACAACATTGTCCATATAAAAGACTAAATCCTTAAAGATTCTCTATCTAATTGTGTCTATAAGATAAAATGCTTGGAATGTGCTGCGATATACATCGGACAAACATCACCAGACAGAAATCAAAATCAGAAGAAATGTACACCGTGGAGTATCTGTTCGATTACCGAGAAATCCAGTTGAACTAGAATAGCTTGAAAAATCATCAGTCATAGGTCATCTACACGCTACACTATAAAATCAGGCCACAAAATTGATTTTGACAATATTGAAATCATCATCCAGAAAAATTTCGTAAATCACAAAGAACGTCTCACATCATCCGCTGCACTTCATAACAAATGAAATCCAAATTGTCTGAATAGAAATGATGAACTAAGACAGAATTTGACCTGGTAACGACACCTCCCTCCTCCACGAAGTGACAAAATCAACAAGAATATGATAAGCAATTTCACTACGTAAACACATGCTACTTTTATAATTTTACACATTTATCCAATTCAAAAATCCATACACGGTTTTGTTATCTCTACCACTTGCCCAGCTTGACAACGCAAAAATGACCTCATGCTGAGGAACGATGATTAAAATGTAATATATAAGCTGAGATTTTGTAAATTCTGGTTTATAAATACTTTGATAAAGCTATTGGCAGCATTAATGAATAGTGAAACATCAGTAAAAACAACGACAGTATCGTTTTGTTTTTCATTCATTCATTGGGAAATACAAAATAAAACCTTTATTATAATGGGTGGACTACTCTTCTTGAATCATTTACAATAAAATCATCGTCGTATTATAAAGAAAAAGAATGATCATAACAGATATGGTTAGATATCAATGGTATGGAAATTTCAGGGTTTATGAAACACATGCTTAACTACTACTATCCGTACAACGTGTATCATTTGAGAATAAATGCAAATGAACAGAAGTCAGAATAAATTCAAACAGAAAAAAAGACAAGCAGAACTAATTAATTCCATAAACTATAAAAAAAAAATAAACTTACTACAATCACAAGAGAAACAACCGGTACTACGAATGCACCAGTTATAACAGATTCTATGTGTGAGTAAAGGAATTCTGCACATCCCTGTAAGAAAAAAAACAATAAAGAAACATGGAAAGCCTACATAACAAACAAAAAACGAAAGAGATTTGATGAGAAGCAATAAGGAGGGGGTAGCAACAGTTTGACTACTCATAAACTATGAAACGAATCAGTGAGTTGCAGCATGCACCTACACAAAAGTGACAACATATTTAAATAAAGTAGAAATCGACATAAATTTCTCTCTTTCTCTCGCTTGCTTGATTTCTTCACTTAGTTACTTTTATCACTTGAATATAATTATAAGGAGATCTACAAAATGACCGTGGTCTGAGTAACATACGTTGAGCTTACTTCTTCCTTAGCAACACATTTATTTCACAGAAAGTGCATCTAAACTACGCTTACACCACTAACTGATTTCAATAGAACTTCATGGCGTGAATTATAATGATGGATGGTGTCAAAAATACATGCTGGTGTGATTGATGAAGGCCTCAGCAGCGCTTATAAATACCCACTAAACTATTGAGTTTATGGGAATAACATGAATGGAATAAACTGAACACAAGAGGCAGTGACTGACTTAAAGTAAACTAACTGTTTGAGTAAGCGACAAATATAGATGCATGTAGCTCAGAACATCTGGCCAATTCAGGACAATCACCACCATCCGAGAAATCCTTCAAAATCATATACAAGACTCGATCAAACCTATCAAAAGGAGTAAAATCAAGATATCTGGGCATAGCCGAGGCACTAGCCATCCAAAAGCTCAAACCTACGCTATGTATCCAAAAGAAATATGTCCAACCCCTGTCCCTGTCATGGCCATCATTAAACAGGTAATTCTTTTAATAGTGACTATTCCATTACCTTTCTTATCCAAACTTCCTGTTTATTCATGTGATTTTTAAGTTTTCCTTAATCCCTATTTACACTACCATATTTTCATACCCGAACTTCCTGTCTGTTTTGTCATTTAATTATTTCTACATATTTAATCCCTAATTGCGTAAACAATAATTTGTCACAATAGTTATGATCCCACTATATTTTTTTTATCCAACCATCCTGACGATTTCGTTATTTCTACATTTCTAACCCCCAATTGTACAATATATCAATCTTCTCAGTAATTATGATTCTACTTTGTTTAAGTTTTATCAGTCTCCCCTATTTATTATGGCATTTTAATTCCAAATCGTAATTTTATTAATTTGTCCCTTAACCGGAAATTATTCTGGAACTTTTCCACCAATTTATTATATATACACGAATGTACAGCCTAGTTGATGACTTCGTCGAAAAGAGGATTTTCTTCGCTGAAACCGTCTTTTTAAACATAGATAATTAGCAGTCATAGTCGACAAACTGACTTATATGTAACCATTTTCCGTTGTCATTTGTAAAAGAATTATATCTGTAAAATCTCAGCGGGATGGAAATGAGTTATTCCAACGTTTCGTTCGGCAATCTCATCCGAACTTCTTCAGGGGAATTAATCGAAATTAACATAACAGAGGTTTATATATAAAAGGAACATCTTTTGTTTTTAGATAACTCTGTCCAATCATGAGTCATTAAGCACGTATCAATACGTATGATAAACAACATTGTATGAGCTGTGGTCAAAATCTGACCTCGGACTTACAAATATTGGTCTACCTTTGTTAAACACTTTAACCAGAGTGTGTATGTGAATTTAATTGGTGCATGGTGACTAGCAGTGGAATCCAGGATGCGCATTTCATCCTATTTGAGACTCGTCAGCTGGATATACTTACATTCCCCAGTGAGTGATGATGTCCCCACCGAGGCTCGAACCCAGTGACCATAGTTTCAAACGCCAAAGCGTTATCCACTAGACCACTTGGGCCACCTCTTGTGCAAGAGGTCATATTAATTATTTAATTGAATTTTAGATTTTCCCATCGATTGATTGGCCCGAAGTGCTCGGTCTCAGGTTGACATATCGGCTTCTAGTGCAGATGCTTCGACGATGTCTGGGCATGTCATTAGAATTTAATTGGTGTATGGAGACTAGAAGTGGAATCCAGGATAAAGCGCACTTGGGACTCGTCATCTGGATGTATGTATGTGTAGGTAAACAGTTGCAAAACATTTGTTAACGTCTCCATAAGAAGATATAGACAGTACGTCGAATAAAGCGGCTCAATCTTCAGAAAGAAGACAAAGCAATATGTTCGACAGGGTGCTTCAACTAAACTCTAATCCTAAACACTAAAATTTTGAAAATACGTCTAATCATAAAATTCTAGATACTAACAGTTTGAACAGACATGAAGGTGAGATGTTAGCTGATGCATAGGAAATCCTGATTAATAAATAAAAATGGATATGTATCATTAATTAATAATAATTGGTCAAAATTCCCGACTGTTTATATCTTTTTATGGAGACGTTAAGAAATGGTTTACAACTGTTTACCCACAGACACATACACACTCTGTTAAAGTTCATTTGAATCATTTTTCGTTGTATTCAAACTTTTTCCAGCTAAAAGAGTTATCACTTATTAAGACAACTAATTCCTCTTTAAAAAATACTTACTTTCTGAAAAGTTATCTGTCCTGGTTCATCATTATCTGACTTTGTTTTCAAGTCCTGAAGTACTTGTTCCTCTAAACTCATTAGTGTACGACAAGAGTCGGGTACAAAGGCAACTAAAGCCGATGAATTTGGATGACTGTATCTCCACTTTGAAGAAGCATAGATCTGAGGACCTGAAAATCCACAACATTCACCCTAAATTCAATAAAAAAAAGAGGAAGGAAGCAAATGTATTCACAAATCAGAAGTGGTATAAAAATATCTATAATTTAGAAATGATATCATTACAGTACTGTTTCAGTTTATTTATTCTGAAGAGAGTCAACAGTGAGAGATAGTTTATCTTTGTCCATATATTAAAATTATGATCTGAAGTCCTCATAATAAATTCCTAAAATCCAAAATGAGGTTTGTGCAGAATAATATGGTACCATCATTTATTTCGTTGGCTTCTCATCAGCTGTTTGCTTAGAGCTTGAAGAAATTATTAAGTTTATGTACAGAAAAGTTTTAACATACTTGCAAATTTTTCATGATGCCAGTTGACAGAAGGTTCCGCAATTAGTGAACAGTGCTCAGAAAATTACGCTTATATAGTTTTTACACAGGCAGTTCAAGTTTGAACAAAGTAGATGTGTGCAGACAATGGTAAAGAAGTTACGCAATAAAGACGAGAGATGTGTAAGATGCTGAGTGACTAATAAATTAGGTAACAATGTACTGAGTCCAACTCAAATCACAGGAACAAGAGACAAACAAAATTACACTGTGTTAAACGGGTGAGGTTAAAGCCAAATATTATGTAATCCAATGAAAGAGAAAGAGAATAAAGACATCCAGTTACCAGGCAGTCAAGGAAAGACTAATATTTAAAACAATTAGTTCCCTTTTTGAATTTAGATAAAGCACCAAAAAGACGTAATTTGTATGAATCGTAACACATTTCGAACAATCTGATCACACACGGACTTGTCATAGGAATATATATGAAATTAATAAAGAGGTAAGAGGTGAGAAAAATAGACTTAGGTCAAGTTAAAAGGACATATTTTCAAGGTCAAAATAATAATGAAGACCACTAAACCAAATAGCAGAGGTAATAGTACATCTGCTATGGTATCAAAACAAAATTTACCAAGGAAGGTTTAATGTGATGACAAATTGTTTTTGAACGCATAAAGGTGGCTTGAACTTTCTAATTGCTAGGGCTTCTACAAACTTTAGGATACGCCCCAAACACGTTTTATAGATAGGTTTAAAAGATCTGTTAACATCAATTTTATGACCTGTCTCTATAATATGTTTCGCAATAGAAGAGCTAGGTCTCCTGTTCTCACCGTTAATAGGTTCTGATGATTCCATTTGTTTCTGGAGCCATTTTGGAATATGCTCTGAAGCCCTTACTTGCAGAGATCGATGAGTCCTCCCTATTTGTATGTGTCCACACGTACATTCAAATTGGTAAATACAGTGGGATGTGACGTCATTTTTCGCATGTTCGAAGGGCTTAGATAGATATAATGGCTTTACATTCTCTAATATTATGATATTAGCTGCATAAAAGTCTTTTTAACAGCAGCGTTCAGCCTTTGTCTAGTTATCAAGCTGCTTTGATGTCCCATATAGGGTAGCTTGATGTACACGTCTTTCTTAGGGGCGAGTTGGAGAGTGGGTTTGGTGTTCTGACTACTTTATATCTCCTGATGAACTTGTCTGGATAATTGTTATCAACCAGAGTTTGTGTCAATATTCTTTCTTCTTCATCAAGCGTGTCTTCAGTGCATATTCGTCGGATTCTACTGAAGAGGCACCTTACTAAGCCTCTTTTGTACCGAATAGGGCAGAAACTGTGGTAATTAAGATACTGTCCTGTCCAGGTAGGTTTTCTATAAATAGATCTTTTTATTGACCCATCAAGCCGTCGACTAAGCAATATGTCTAGGAAAGATAAACAATTATCTTCCTCTTCTTACAGATGTAAGTGATATGCTATTCTGAACTTCATTCATTCGATTTAAAATTGAGGTGGCAGAACAAGGCTTATCACTGATGACTACGATATCATCTACATACCTTCTATAAAGTGGCACATTTTCGATTAAATCTTCCGATAAATTCTCAATGTACGACATATAAATATCTGCTAAAAGGGGCCCTAACGGACTGCCCATAGCAACACCATCAACTTGGCGGAAACAATCGCCTTCAAATGTAAACCTAACATTGTTAGTACATAGAAGTAATAAATCCCTTAAGTAAGATATAGGGAACGGGATGAAAAAATTGTTTGTGGAAATATAATCACACAAAATGTCAACTGTTTTGATCAAAGGCACATTAGTGAATAACGAGTTTACATCAAAAGAGTACATATTCTTGTTCATAATATTAATATCATCAAGAACATCAACCAATTCAAATGTATCTTTTAACACATACTTACAGAATTGTGTTTTGACTGGATTCAATAATTCCACTAACCATTTAGCAAGTTTATGCGTTGGGGATTTGCACATTGACAATATAGGACGTAGAGGATTATTGGGTTTATGTATTTTTGGCAACCCATACATATGTGGGAATTTACAATCTGACGGTTTTAATGAGTCAAGTTTATCTTTACTTATAGCATTTAGGCCATGAAGCTTCAGTAGATTAGCTGTCACTGTGCCCTGCAACAACTGAATATCTTCTGAGGAGGGATCACGACTAAATTTGCTCTTATCATCAAGAATAGACATCATTTTAGATTTGTAGTCACTTTTATTCATAATGACGACTCCAGAACCTTTATCAGGTTTAGTAATAATTATATTAGAATTTTCCCGTAGCTCTTTCAAGGCTTTGAAATGCTGGGAATTTAAAATACTTTTCTCCTTTGGGTTGTTGTTTAAAAACTAATAACTGCTTTTTTCTGAACACATAAATCTGGTTTCAAGCGTTTGATAGAAGTTGCTTCGGCAAACTTAAGGGGAATCGAACTACTTTGTCTATTGATAATTTTAAAAGGTTTCGCGATTTCCACCTCATGACCCCTATCGAGGAGATGTCTGGTATTAGCGCTATACTATAAGAGTTTGTACCCTTGAGACGTAGGTTTTTTGGCGCATGTTCAGAAAGTCGGAGGTGTGCCCTTCTTTCTGTTTTTCCAATGTAAATGCTCCCGCAGATACACGGAAATTTGTATACACAGTTGGAGTTAACATGAGAAGTATATTTTTGGACTTTTGACTGCACCAAAGAGCATGTTGTTCGATGGATAGGAACCAACTTAACTGCAGGATAGGCTTTGACTAGTGACGTACTCAGTCTTCTGTTGATCATTGCTGCAATGTTTTCACTTATTTGGACAAAAACTATTAGAATGTAAGTATTTTCCATTCCATGTCAGGTTTCGATAAATTGACCTCTGAAGACTAGCATCTTCTAGGCGTTGCATGGCAATGTCAAGGAAATAGAACTTTCCATCATTTTCATGTTCCATAGTAAGTTCAATCTAGGCATAGACAATGAAGTTGAAAAGTCAATAGAATCCAACAGGTGTATTTTGGTCTTTGTGCACTGTTTATTACTTATAATGTGACCGAAAGATGAGGATAAGTGTGAATCAGTAGTAGTAATTCGTCTAAGAAATAGAGACTCTTGAAGTAGGCTGATTCTGAATTCATCGGAAATATTAAATTATTATTGTTCCATTGCATGGAGGATTTAATCATGAGCTGACATCAGTTAGAGAACCACTGGAAAACCTGGGAGTACTGGACAGCTGTTTCGTCCAGTACTCCCAGGTTTTCCAGTGGTTCTCTAACTGATGTCAGCTCATGATTAAATCCTCCATGCAATCAAACAAAATCCCTACAAAACCAATACTTGAATATTATTGTTCCCTTGGGTTCCAAGAGGAACATTGGGTTTCAACAGTACATCTCCACTTTGTCCTATTTCCTGCTGGCTTCTTTATCTGGGCACCCCATCGCCCATAAACTCTCAACTACTCTTCAAATGACCTCCTGAACCTCACTCTCGGATGCCTAACCCGGGTTTCACTCGAGGACCTAACGCGCTATGTCATTCGATGGACTCCTCAGCGTGTGCCTAATCCATCCCCATTTACTTTGGCCTATGCTTGGGGTAGTAGGTTCTTGGTTTGTCTGTTTCCATAGTTTCTACTTGCTAACTCTTACTGGACATTTGACCATAAATATGGAGCCGTAGAAGGCAACTGCTGACATAAGTCTGCAACCTAATAGAAAGGTTCCACGTGAAGCTCCAGGTTTCTGATCCATAGAGAAGAACTGACTAACTTAATATTTGTTTTGGAAAACCTTAATGCTGACTTAGTGCAGCAGATTTCCAAATCGATTTCAGAGTGATGAAGGTGTATCTTGCCTTTTCTGATTCTGGCTGGCTTTGACACCTTTATCCGTCCCGAGTACTTGTAGTTGAAACAATGCTTCCTAGATAAGTGAAAGAAGCGATCGATTTTAAATTTCTTCCGTTGACAGTGATTGTTGCTGGTTGTTAATCGCGGTGTGTGGAGGTATCTTCACCACTTTTGTCTTCTCTATGTTCACTTGAAATCCTTTATACGCAGCTAGGACTTGTAAGACTTTGAAATTGTGTAGTATCAGATGAATCGTCCGCAATATCCAGATCTTCTTAAGTGTTCTTATCGGTCAAATATACTTCCGTCTTGTTGTTCATCAAAGTCTTCCGCATAATCCAGTCCACACCGACTGGGAATATCAACGTGATAACAGGCAGGCACACTTGTCTTACTCCGCTATTCAATTAAAAAAGCCTCGCTGAGTTTCACGCAGTGGATTAGCTGATATTATCATTTACCTTTTCAATGAGTTTGATAAGGATGCGGAGCACGCCACAGTGTTCAGTAGTTTCCAAGTTCTTCGCCGTTAACGCCGTCGATGGCCTTTACAAAGTCAATGAAACTGAGATAAACGTTTGACTACCATTATATGCTCTCTTCGATAACGATGCATAGAGCTGAGATTTGATCAGCACATGATTCGCCTTTCCTGAATGCAGCTTGCTACGATTGACAGAGTTCTGCACCCAGTCCATCATTTATTCTCTCCGAATTGAGTCCATTTTGTATTTTACTCGGCGTGAACAACAGAATTATTCGGCCCCAGTCCTTGTAAAGTCCTAGTTCGCCCTTCTTTGGTCGTTTTACA